CTCACATTGGGTTTGATGGCTGATGGCTGGTTGCTGTTGCATTTCCTGGCTAGGTTGGGATTGGCTTTCGGAAGACTTACACTTGTTTGTCAAAATGATGTCATGATAGACTTGAGGCTTGTTTGAAAAGAGAAGGCTGCGCATAGAAAGTTTAGCCTCCCTTTCCTGTCCCTGGGCAAAAGGAATGAAAGTGTTGACACATGACTCAACTTGGTGGAATTTTGATCAAACAAGGGGGAATTGACGCGGACGACTCGCATCGCAACGTCAAAAGACCCAAACAAATAAGTTCCACCAAGTTGCATGAAACTCTTGTGACTCTTCTGCAGAATAAGACTCCATCCAAAGGTCTGAAATGGTTTTACCTATATACATTCGCTAGGTCTGAAATGGTTTTACCACTAGGCTGACCAAGGTTAAGAATGATAGGTGTACCATTCTAGTCCTTCATAACGAAACCCCCAGGGGGGGTCCCATTCTAGACCTTTAGTAGTTGGGGGGATTGTTAAAGTATAGTTTTAGAGGACGTCAGCAATATGCATTTTATAGACAGATATCTTTAGAATTCTTTAGATATCTATGCAAAGTTATCTACTGTTAAAAAAAACAAATCAAAATATGGCTTTAGATAACCCAACAACATAGATTTTATAGACAGGTATCTGTGGATGGTTCTCCATTATTGAGTCTTACATTCTTCAAAACATGAATGTCAAGGAGTCACAATCTATCATTTTATAGACACAAATCTGGGAACATAAAGTCTCTATAAAATCTAAAGTCTGACCCCCAGGCGGCCAAGGATAAAACCTGATTTCTCTATAAAATGAGAGCATGACCCCCCACTTGGGGACTGAATAAAACGTTTTATCCCTAGCCATGACCCTCAGCATTTTATCCTGGGATATGTTAACGGGTATGCCAAAACCATCAAATAAAGTGATTCAAAACTGATTCAAAAGTGATTTAAACGTGATTTCCCTTAGGTCTTTGCAATTAAAAGGCCAAACCTATCAAATAAAGTGATTCAAGAGTGATTTAAACGTGATTTTCCCTTCATTGTTGCAGTTTCGGCATGATTTGGGGAAAACATGCCAAAACCATCAAATAAAATGATTCAAAAATGATTCAAAAGTGATTTAAAAGTGATTTTCCCGAGGTTTTTGCAGTTTTTTTGCTTGGTTTGGGGAACCTTTTTTCCAAAACCATCAAACAAAGTGATTCAAAAGTGATTCAAAAGTGATTTAAAAGTGATTTAAAAGTGATGTTCCCTAGGTTTTTGCAGTTTTTAGCTTGGTTTCGAGATAACTGGCCAAAACCATCAGATAAAGTGATTGAAAAGTGATTTAAAAGTGATTTCCCCTCGGTTGTTGCAGTTTTTGGCTTGGTTTGGGTAAAACTTGCCAGAACTAGCAAAAAAAGTGATTCGAAAGTGATTTAAAAGTGATTTCCCCTAGGCTTTTACAAGTTTTTCGCTTGGTTTGGGAAACACTTGCCAAAACCATCAAATAAACTGATTTAAAAGTGATTTAAACGTGATTTCCCCTAGGTTCTTGCTGTTTTGGACTTGGTTTGGGGAACACTAGCCAAAACCATCGAAAAAAGTGGTGCAAAAGTGATTTAAAAGTTATTTCCTCTAAGTTTTTGTTGTTTTTGGCTTGGTTTGGGGAAAACTTGCCAAAACCATCAAATAAAGTGATTCAAAAGTGATTTAAAAGTGATTTTCCTAGGTTTTTGTAGTTTTTGGCTTGGTTTGGGGAAAACATGCCAAAACCGTCAAATAAAGTGATTCAAAAGTGATTTTAAAGTGATTTAAAAATGATTTCCCCTAGGTTTTTGCAGTTTTTGGCGTGGTTTCGGGAAAACATGCCAAAACCATCAAACAAAGCGATTCAAAAGTGATCAAACAAACTGATTCAAAAGTGATTTAAAAGTCATTTAAAAGTGATTTCCCCTAAATTTTTGCAGTTGTTAGCTTGGTTTGGGGAAAACTTGCCAAAACCATCAAATAAAGTGATTCAAAAGTGATTTAAAAGTGATTTAAAAGTGATTTTCCTAGGTTTTTGCAATTTTTGGCTTGGTTTAGGAAAACAGGTCAAAACCATCAAATAAAATGATTCGAAAGTGATTTAAAAGTGATTTAAACGTGATTTCCCCTAGGTTGCAATCTCCCATCCCAAACTTTCAAGGACAACATCCTAATATACATCTGTAGCAATTTACATATCTGTAGTATTTATCTACTTTTCTATCTATCTATCTATCTATCTATCTATCTATGTATATATCTGTACCTCCAAGGACAAAGTCCTGGTATATATATATATGTATAACTCCAAGGACAAAGTCCTGGACTACATATGTTTCCTATTCAAAAAAAACGTCGCTGTTCAGGACACTGCCTGTTCGGCAGACTAGTTACGGTTTCGTCGTGGTCTTAGCTATAGTATTTATTTTCAAGGACAACATCCTAGTATACATCTGTAGCAATTTACATATCTGTAGTATTTAACTACTTCTATATCTATCTATCTATCTATCTATCTATCTATATATATCTACATATATATGTACCTCCAAGGACAAAGTCCTGGTATATATATATATATAACTCCAAGGACAACGTCCTGGACTACATATGTTTCCTATTAAAAAAAACGTCCCTGTTCAGGACACTGCCTGTTCGGCAGACTAATTACTGTTTCATCCTGGTCCTGGCTAGAGTATGTATTTTCAAGGACAACATCCTAATATACATCTGTAGCAATTTACATATCTGTAGTATTTATCTGCTTTTCTATCTATCTATCTATCTATCTATCTATGTATATATCTGTACCTCCAAGGACAAAGTCCTGGTATATATATATATGTGTATAACTCCAAGGACAAAGTCCTGGACTACATATGTTTCCTATTCAAAAAAAACGTCGCTGTTCAGGACACTGCCTGTTCGGCAGACTAGTTACAGTTTCGTCTTGGTCCTAACTATAGTATTTATTTTCAAGGACAACATCCTAGTATACATCTGTAGCAATTTACATATCTGTAGTATTTAACTACTTCTATATCTATCTATCTATCTATCTATCTATCTATCTATCTATCTATCTATCTATCTATCTATCTATCTATCTATCTATATATATCTACATATATATGTACCTCCAAGGACAAAGTCCTGGTATATATATATATATAACTCCAAGGACAACGTCCTGGACTACATATGTTTCCTATTAAAAAAAACGTCCCTGTTCATATATATATATATATGTAACTCCAAGGACAAAGTCCTGGACTACATATGTTTCCTATTCAAAAAAACGTCCCTGTTCAGGACACTGCCTGTTCGGCAGACTAGTTACGGTTTCGTCTTGGTCCTGGCTATAGTATTTATTTCCAAGGACAACATCCTAGTATACATCTGTAGCAATTTACATATCTGTAGTATTTAACTACTTCTATATCTATCTATCTATCTATCTATCTATCTATCTATCTATCTATCTATCTATATATATCTACATATATATGTACCTCCAAGGACAAAGTCCTGGTATATATATATATATATGTAACTCCAAGGACAACGTCCTGGACTACATATGTTTCCTATTCAAAAAAACGTCCCTGTTCAGGACACTGCCTGTTCGGCAGACTAATTACTGTTTCATCCTGGTCCTGGCTAGAGTATGTATTTTCAAGGACAACATCCTAATATACATCTGTAGCAATTTACATATCTGTAGTATTTAACTACTTATATATCTATCTATCTATATATATATATATCTGTACCTCCAAGGACAAAGTCCTGGTATATATATTCAAAAAAACGTCCCTGTTCAGGACACTGCCTGTTCGGCAGACTAGTTACTGTTTCGTCCTGGTCCTGGCTATAATCTTTATTTTCAAGAACAACATCCTAGTATACATCTGTTGTAATTTACATATCTGTAGTATTTAACTACTTATATATCTATGTATATATATATATATATACATACATACACCCTACATTACATTACATTGCATTACATTACCTTCCAATGGAATACAATGACAGTACATTTACATTACACCAAATTACACTACATAACTTTACATTGCAAGGTACATACCAGCCAAAGTCCATCAAACTGCGCGGACAAAACCATGGTAAGAATGTCCAAGCGTTATGTCTGGGTTCCATTTAGTATTTCCTTCAAACCTTATTAGAGTGTCGTCTAGGGTCTCTTTAGGATGCATTTAAAGTTTCATTCAAATGGTTTCTTTAGGTCAATTTCTGGTTTCTTTAGGGTTCATTTCATTTAGGATCCAAACAGAAGAGAATAAAACAAAAGAATTAGAATTTCATGCCGAGCTTCTCTGGGATTCACTCGGGCTTCGCGTTTCTTAAAGATTTACATCTCTTAAAAGTTTTCTTTCGAGTTTCTTTAAGGTTTCTGTCGAATTTCATGCAGGGTTTGCTTTAGGAATTCTTTCAGGTCTTCCGGGGTCGGCGGCAGGGGCGGCAGCCCTTAAATATTTTCCAGGTCAAATCTTGCAGAAGCATGTCATGCAATGCTAGTCAAGGCATCAGCAATTGTTACAATCACTGCCTGTCAACTTTTGTTAATCCGTTTTTTATCCTCATAAACTGGTGGATCATGGTTCCAACCACATCACATTGTGATTTTGATCGATTTTCTACATCCACCTGTCACATGGCATCTGTTTCCCGTGGCAATCTGAGTTCAGCACCGCGTCTTCACTGCGGCGCAATGAGCTTCAAGGACCTTGTGATGCAAGGGATCCGGAACACCCATAGCACAGGCATGTGCAAAGATATGTGCAAAGTACTTGTGAGGTATACAGACTGACATAGAATACAATGATTGCAGTGGGCCGGGCCATGCAGGGGTTACATCGACTTTCTTCCTGCTCAAACCTCGATCGGCCAAGCAGCTCAAGTCTTTGCCAATGGTCCGAAGAATCCCAGCAATGCACGACATTTTGCAAACATCAGAAGTCAGCAAGGCCATGCCGCAACCAATGCCTTTTCCGAAACCAATGCGGATCGCTAGTAGCGGCGAGTGACTCGCCGCTAGTTGTCGATCCTCGTTGAGCCTCGTTGAGCCTCGTTTGTCTCTTGATTTTCCATTCATGGAACGATCGAAACAATCATCGAAACCAATGAAACCAAACCTCGGGGAAACCAACGACATCGAACTTTGTCGACTGGCCGCCCTGTCGTGCCCTGTCGTGCCGTCAGTAGTAGGCGTCTAGGAAGAGCCCTGTGATGGACTTGCCCTTCTTCAGGTCGACCTTCAAAGCCGCTGGCTGGACTGCCGCCAGTTGAGCATAAGGCATCCTGAAAGCAGAAAGACCAGAAAAACTTGTCTTCTAAAGTTGTAGACAGTATGAATTCTACAAAATGCTCTCCACAGAGTGAACAACTTGGAGAATTCACATGAATTAACTTAACTTGATTTGGAGATGATATAACAATTATTTATATATATATATATCATATATATACATATTATATAACTTATAACATTGAACTAACAAACATTAAACTAACATGTTAGAAACTGATAGACATGATGAATTGAGAGGTTCCAATTGATCCAAGGGTCTCACCATAGATGGCATTTTCAGGGCCTTCGGTCACATCAAAGCATCGGAACTTCACCACGTGATGCTCTTTTCCTCAGCGCGGCTGAGGACAGCAGCGGTTCTGAACGTTCTGTTTGTTGTTTCTGTTTCTAACCAGAACTGGTTTTGTCATCATTTCTTTAACCAATTTTTTGGAACTGATATGAACTGAATCATCCAACGAAATCCGAAGAAAAAGGCTGGGTTTCACACACCGAAACAGTTGAAACAAAAAACAGTTTTGGGGGTCAGTTTCTGGGTTTTGAACTGTCATTTTTGTCCTTGTTATTGCCACCCTGCTGCTTGATTTACCGTGATGGGAGTCACTAGATCAGTTGAAAATCAGTTGAAAATCAGTTGAAAATCAGTTGAAAATCATACCCAGTACAACATATACCTATGGCCCCAAATATGCAGGGCAGGTTGAATAAAAGACATTCAACAGCATTTAAACAACATGGCAACATGACTTCTGGCAGCATGTGACATGCCATGTATCACCGAGCACCGAGACACCCCAGGGGAGTGGCTTGCAGGGGTCGAACTGAACGAAGTACATTTCACCCTGAGCATCGGACCCAAAAAATGCTGGAGATTGGATGGTGCCCTGTACTCGGACACATCTAGTTTGATCTAGATTGATACCATCCAGAAAACCAATGTAAACCCACTTTTTTCGAAAGAATCTTGCCATGTCTCATCATGTATCACCTCCAAAGTCCATCAGAAATCAGAAACACAGAACCAAAATCTTGCCATTCATAAACTGATAGGGAAACTAGGCCCCTTGGCTTTCCACTGTGGCCAGGATCTTCCAAAATCGTGTGCTTTTCCATAGGAGTCCCCCAAAATGTTTGTTGGGGATTCTGAACTAACCCATAGGGGAAATCCCACACCAAACAGCTACAAAAAAGCTTCAAAACGGGATTTTATACCATAAATGATACACCATATCTCATACCATCCCCACAATAAGACCATATTTCAGGCGAAAATCCGGCGAAAATTCTGGTGAGCTGAAGCGCCTTAGTGACTTAGTAGCCTTAGTGTGATCTCTATCCATCCCTACCCATCCCTGGAAATCTCGCCTTGTCAAAGCCACAAATTTCGTTGTAGGCCTTGCGAACGCACTCGCGACTGGCGATCCATCCAGTGCCCAAGGAAAAGCCGAAGACCTGTCGTGTCGTGAGGTGAGATGTGGGGATTTTATGGGAATTTGGCATGGAATTTTCGTCATTTTCTATAGGGAAAACACCTAATTTTCCAAACTGGGGATGTAAAATTCATGTTTCAAAATGTTTTGATGATGGACAAATCGACAATACATGAGCAGGAAAAAAAAATACTATCCGGTTTGGTCAACAATTTTGATTCACCAAATTTCGGGCCTGGTTCTGATAGGACTCTGAGTGTGTGAAGCTCACATCATCGATATCCCAGCCGTTCTCCTCACAGAGTTTCTCAATCATCGACACGAAGGGCCTGTAGGCTGGAACCACCATCATCATCCCAGCAACCATGTAATCCCAATAGCGCATGCTGCGAATGGACTGTTCGACAGGCAATCCAAAGTAGGCAAACCACTCATAGAGCCACACGCCATTCCTTAGATGGCTCCGAAACAAGTTTCTCTTGCCATAGACTTCCAATCGATTTCCTTAAGCTATGGATAAGTTAAACAGTTATGGCAATAGATTTCCAATAGATTTCCAATTGGAAAAGATAAGTTTTGGATAAGAGATGGTAGATGGTAGAACGAGTTATGCGTTGGAAAAGAACATATCTTTTCCATCCAAGATTCGCGGCAACAAAGGGATCCTCTGTGGTCTTCAGCTTCTGGTGCTTGGCGAGCCCCTTCTTGTGGACCACGTACCATCCGAAGCGCCAGTTCCCCATGTAGGGTCGATACGCCAACAAAAATGGCACCAGGCTGGGGTTCAACTGGCCAATTATGGGGATTATGATCAACACCAACAGCAAAAATGCCAACAAAGCTGGTGAGCCAGGAAGAGCAAACTCGTGTTGGCAAAAGAGGAAGTAGGCGAAGATCATGCAGGAATAGTTCCACTCGAAGACCGATGCGAAAGGCATACAAACTCCGATGAAGGCATGGTAGGAGATCATGCCAAAGGCACCCAAATGACGAAGGAAATAGATCTAAGTCAGGCTGTGCTTACTGTGGACACATCTCATGTGATACCACCACACAAATCGTGCAGTCCAAACGCCGCTGTTATTTGTACTGCAAGGATCATGAGATCAAACGCAAGCATCATTAAGTCAGAGAATACAAGAAATATCAAGAAATTATTCCAATGTCACAAAATGTCACAACATGTCACAAATGATGAACACATGTCAGTTGGATCGTTCATTTTTAAAGATGTTTCCCAAAGAATCTCCAAGCGCAATCTCCCAGGATAATCCGAAACTAAGACGTCGACCGGAGTGCTGCAGCACAAGGGGAAGGCAACCTCCAAAGTGGCGCCCATGTAGGCTAAGATGGTCGACAAGTTGCTGGGATTCAGATCATCTGGGTAGTCTTTCACCAGCAATTTGCACATGAGTTGCTTGGGCAAAAGCCAGGTGTACGCTGAATCTTTGGTGATGAAGGGAATCACAGGCTGGAACCAAGGTCCAATTTTGCCAACCCCAGCCCAAGCCCATAAGGCCAGTTGCACACATTGCCATCCATTGATCCAATCTGGGAACAGCATGCAGATCAGAAAGTAGCCTCATTGGTGTTGTCTTTCACATCTCAACACATTCTTCAACCCGCTTGAAAAACATACAAGTATCGAACAAAGTGATTGGTCAAGCATTGGAAAATCACGGATCATCATCCAGAATCGGTTTCAGAATCGCTTTGAATAGCTGGAACTTTCCTTAAAACGTGACATATTGTGACAACTTGTGATCCATGATTGATTGTTAACCATCACCCAGTAACCGTAGTGTTCTCCCCTGCTGGCACTGAAGATGTTGTAATCAAAGATGGTACACACTGTCAGCAGCACCACGGGCAGCACCACGGATGGCTCCGGCTTCAGCAACTCGTTCCGCAGCGACAAGGCGTAGGCCACGAAGCACAGCACCGCCAAAACGGAGCGACGCGCGGGCACGGCCGAAACCAACGAGACCAAGGAGGGAAAGGTCGGGGAACAAATGGTCCCTGGCCACATGAAATGGATCCCAGTACCTCCCACGGCCAGCTTGAACCGTTGACCCAACAATGAGGAGGTAGCACCGAAGCCCAGGATGGAATGTAAGATGCTGTAAAGCAGGAAACGTTTCATGTTCATCTCCGACACCAGTGACTCTTTTGGATCCATGAAAAATAAAACACCTGCCCACCACAGTGCTCCAATGCATGCGTAGGTTGCAATGAAGGCTGGCACTGGACAAATGCCATTGTCACGGAGGAACTTCTCATTGCAGATCTTCACACGTTCGCGGAAGGTCAATGTCTTCCACTCTTCGTCGCTTTTGATCGGAAACTCGGTGATATTCAGAAAGCCGGGCCCTTCGCCCAGGTCATTTGGGAGGAGTTTCTCCATAGCGAGGCTCGCTCCGTTTGATGTGTTTCTTCGCAAATACTAAGATTTCCTCCGCTTGAGCCACCGGCAACCATGCAGTCTGAAAAAAAAACATATTTGACAATGGGATGAACAAACGGATTCCACAAACGCTTTATTTCGATTTCATGTGTCAGGTGGCGCAGCTTGAGCATCCAACCGCTTTCTCCCAGACCTTGGCTTTCCGAAATCTGGCCGGTACATCCTAAGATCTGAAAAGAGTCTATATGTAAAAAATGGAAAAACATATGATATCAAAACAAAATCGGGAATTTATATCAAATTGATGTTCACATCGCTTGACCCAAGATTCTCAAGAGACCAGTTCCATGTTTCAACACCAATAACTAAGCTCAAAGCGCTTGGCTGGGCTTGCCTGATGTCGAAGTGTTCCAGGTGGGATGGAAATATGTCGAAATCCATTTGAGAAAAGGAAAACATGAACAATAACTATTCAATAACTATTCAAAAACCATTCAACATACTATTCAATAAACAACTCTTCAATATAACTATTCCACCATTCTTCAACTGCAGTTTCAATACCAAACCAAGGTTTTTTGTGACAGATGTCCAGCTTCACGGCGTGAGATTCTGGTTGCCGAGAAGTTGAAAACATGGATTTTCCCAAGAATGCCTACCCCCAAATATCATGCTTTATCATGCTTGATCATGCTTTATCATCCACCTTGTTTTGGAGAAATGCCTCAACTTTTAAACCGATTCATTACTCGCCCCCTTGAAATGCGTCAAGTCGCTGGGGCGGTCGAGAACAATGAAACCACAACCAAATGCCATGACATGGAAAATAGTAGAAGAATTCAGAATAAACATAAATAACAAATTGGAACTTCATAGATAAACAACATCCAATAAGTCCAACATATAAGTATATCATAGTATATCTAGATTTTTCATGTAGCAACATCTGGATATTAGTGATATGTGTGGATTTTCACACCCAGGGGCCTCATCGGATCAAAGGAGACCAGCCATTCCCGGCCATGGCAGTTGAGCCATGGAAAATGACGTGACATGGCAATAAAAAGCACACTGATGGCCGATCACTTCAGAATCTTCAGAATGGCAAATTTCTCAAATTTCTCAAAGTTCAATCAATTTGGCAACTGACAGTAACTGGTTGGTGGTTGAGTAAACCTACCCCTCTGAAAAATGATGGAGTGAGTTCGTCAGTTGGGATGATATATTATTCCCAATTAATATGGAAAGTCATAAAATTCCATGGTAACAGCTCTAGTGTAAATCAAGAATATCCAAAACGTGACATCATCACGTATCGAATTGCTGTAAGACATAAACTACAAGAAAATGCGGTGTGCCACTGTCCCTGCGAGAAATGTAGAACCCACAGTGGAAAATGGCAGCAAACCTACTCCACTCGCCTAAAAAAGGAATTGCTGGACAAACCTCCAACAGGCCCGCACTTGCAAAGAGAACCCCAGATTGTACAATGCGCGGAAAAACCACATTGCAGTGGTGGGCGGCAGGGTAGCAAGGCAAAGGGCTAATGGAAGGTGCCCAGGGGGCGCATGGGAGTACTCCAGTCACCACCAACCAGTGGTTATTAACCATCATTAACCATCATTAACCATCATTATCCCATACTAAACCAATGTTCCAAACCATCAACCAGATATGGGTATTAATGTATGGTTCCAATGGCGATTGTGAAAACTTGAAACCACATTGACACCACCGGCACTAGCGACTCGCAACGACTCATTTCTCCATCTGTCGCCAGGTGCACCGAAAAATGTGTCCTGACAGATCCCGGAGATCGAACAATTGAAGTGAGCCTGTCATGGTCCTGTAATGGTCATTAAATCCTGTTGAATCATCATTAACCAATGGTTAATGATGGTTAATGATGGTTAATGATGGTTAATGATGGTTAATGCCCTTGGAGATAATGGAGATATTCTAATCTTGGAAATGAAAACAGTGGCTGTGGCTTTGGAAAGCCAACATTTTGGCTTCGGAGAACCAACATCTGGAACCCCGGAGATCCTTCGGCGCAAACGCGCAGGGGCTTAGGCCCTTAGCATCCAGTTCCAGTTGACATCGGTGTGGCAGATGTGGTTTTCAGAGTGATCAGTGCCTATTGTCCTGAAAGGTTGCCATCGACAAACATATTCAAATATATCAAACATATGACAAGCAAACAGCAATTTCCAGATATTTCCAGATATTTCCAGATATTTCCAGATATTTCCCCTATTCAACTCGCGTTGTTTTCGCAGAAGGTGCTGAGAGATGGGCCTTGGCCCAGCGCCATCCGACGGTCGTCCGACATCTTTTGAGCGGCACCTGGTCACGGATGGGCCTCAAGCGGTATGCGCTGGGGCAGAAACCAGTGAGGTTAACGTGAACGTATGCCACATTTTGCATAAGGTTAGCAGAATTCGCAGCAGAATTCGCGGCAGAATGTTTCACTTTACACAGTTTCAATATGTTTCAATATGTTTCTATATGTTTCAATTAACAAGTGAAACATTGAGCGCAAATTCGTCTGTCAAAACGGCTGTCAACACCATGCAGACCGGCAGCTTGATCTCGGGATTCCTGCACTGCCAGATCCAGCAAGTGGAGCCCAAAAACATCAACTGATTTAAGCGATTCTCAGAAAGAATCACATAGGAACAGCCTGGTCTCATACTTTGCTGTCACAGTTGCATCCAATCATGATAAATCGTATGATACCATCTGATTACGACTAACATAGCCATGGAACATCACAATTTTTAAGAACGGTAAACCATCTATTTCTATGGGCCATGGCTAAATCCACTATTTCGACTGGGTCATGGCTTCAATAGCAAACTGTTATAGTCATTACCAGAGGGTTTATTCCATTAAGTCATTAAGTGGATTATAATTCCATTAAACCCCATTAAATTCCATTAAATATGGCCATTTTTAATGGGTAAATCCACTATTTCTATCATTAGGGTGCACCAGGGTAAATCACCATTAATCACCATTAATCACTATTAACCATTATTAACCAGTATTAACCAGTATTAACCCAGTATTAACCATTATTAATCACCATTAATCACCATTAATCACCAGGGCAACTCTCTATGGCTGTCCTTCATGAGGATGCTTCCTGCCTGGGGCAGGGCTTGTCGCTTTTTCACCCGGAGAAACTCCCCAGGTCTCTGGGATCGCTGGGGCCGCTGGGTCTCGTGCACGGCAGATGACCTGCCCAAATGAACTGAGGCTACTGGTGAAGCTATCTCTGTCCACGCTTTATGGATGGTTCAGTAGTTCAGAACTTCAGAACCTCTACAAAAAACCGTGAGATCATGTTGAACATCACATGTGTATTTGAAGTGTATTTGAAGTGTATTTCAATACCCATACGATCCATGTATGCTATATATGGTGACATTTACCATCAATATACCCCAAATGTTAGCATATATATACCATAGCATACATGGTAAATGGGTATATATTTACCATATATATATAATTATATATATATACCATAAATAGCATACATGGATCCTATGGGATAGATTCCCTCGCCGAAGCCTTTGCTTAGCATCGCTCATCTTCGTCGCTTTCGCCCTATTTCGGTGGGATCTCATGAGTCCAAAAACATCGAAAAACGATGCCGGGGTGGTCCGTGGTCATGTTTTTTGGTAAAATACCCTCTGGTTATGACTAACATAGCCATGGAAAATGGCCCATTTATAGATTGTTTACCTGGGTTTACCATGTTTTCCTTGATTACTTCCACAATTCTTCGGGCTGATGAAGGCAAACCGAAGCCAGATCGAACCGCCCAGGCTTCCGAACCCAGAGTTTGCAGCCTGCCGATGAATGACAGGCCGTCAACGCACCATTAAAAAACCGTTGATTGCCGTGAAACTGAGTGTGAAATTCATGGCATTTTGAAACTTTTTCTTCACCCACAATCATCAGAATCAGAATATTACACACCTCGATTGATGGTCCCAAAGATGTGCAAATCCCCTGCTAAACCCAGCATTTCCTCGGTGTTTTAATAGTAGGATGGGATGGCAAAATCGGACTTTCGTCACTGATTTTTTTGTCTTGTTCAACTCTTTAGGTGTGGATGACGTCGACAGCCATTCTCAACCTTCAGATGTCTGGTTTGAAACCACCAAAATTATATGCGAAGATGGCAGGTGCTCTTTTCAAACCGCACCGAAACAGCGCTATGAACAGACTGGAGGAAACGCCTGTGAAGACTTTGCACGGTTGGATGTTTTTACCTGTGACAAGTCACAAAAAACGACTGTTCTAAGGTCAAATCCGCAGTCTGTTGATCCGCCCTTCATATTGCAAATACACAGGATAGAAGCAGATTAAGAAACGGGCCTTCAACACAAGCCAACACGACAAAGGCGTTTTGTAACATATGAAACATGCACTTCGCATCAAAGTCTGCAATTCTGACAAGCTGCGTCCCGAAGCAAAGCAGTCGGGTTGTCCTTCTCCCAAGATTCCTTGAAACATGCTGACACCACACTTACAGTCAGGCAATTCATGCAGAGCAAAAGTATATAATGGAAAAATGCAGCTGATTCGTTGCTTCAATCCGATTCAATCCTTTGCAAGTTGCAACAATGTTCTTCTGTCTGCTTGGTTGTCCATTGAGCACTTGGCCATGCTGAATTGAGTTTCCAGCCGATAAAAAGAAAATGCAGATTTCATCAGAGAAAACTCAAATACAGTTTCATGAAAACGTCCACCAGAGACTTCTTGTGGGAGACCCAGATCTCCCACAAGATCTCCTGCTATCTCCAGGTGCCAAGAGTCAACGATCTGTTGCTGGCACCTGGTAAAATCAGTGCCCAACAACCGGCCATCTGCAGTTACGGCTTCTTGATGAAGCACCTCCCAAAGGGCAAAAGGCAATTTTGTGGACAAAATTGCCGTGCCATGGTGCCATGATGCCATGCCTCATATGCCATATGCCTGTCATGTCCTTCTGTCCCAAAAAACATGGAATTCCATGGGATTCCTGAAGGGATTAAAGTGGACCAGGTGGACATGTTTCGTGCAGCCCCACCTTCTCCACTTGATCCAACAACGTTTGGATCCACGGCAAAGTCTCAGAGGCTTCCACTTGCGTCAGTTGTTGGAGCTGCTTGCTCTTCCATGTCTGGCAAAGCTCCCTTAGAGGGACACAGATCTGGAAACAAAACAACAAAAAACAAAGAGAAACAACAAAGAGAAACAACACACAACATTGAAATCGGAATTATCAATTGTAAACAATAAAGTAGAGATAACCAAATCCAACTGACATCAAAACTCTCAATGGCCCCTCCTCACTCTTTGGCAGTGCCCCACAGGCCGGGCCCAGCCAAGAGGCGTCATTTCAGGTTGCAAATCCACCCCAGGACGAGCCCAGCTGTCTGCAAAAAGCCCCTCTAGATCTCCAAGAAGCCTCGGAATTCCGCGAAAGACCTGGCTCCGTCTCCGCGAAAGAACGTCATTGGCTTAAATATCTGGTTAAAACCACAGTGGAAAACCTGGCTCCAGTGCAAAAATATATCGGCTCATCGAAGGAAGTTTAGAAGTCGAACTTCCGACAATATGGACAGATGAAAAGCAGAGAAGGGAAGAGGCAGAGAGAAGAGAAAGACTAGAAGAAAGAAGAGTAAGGAAAGAGTCAGAAGAAAGCAGATGCAGATGCGAGAAAAGGTAGGAAAGTCGCGAAACACTGTGTTTTTCCAATGATCGCTAAAGCGGCGGATGCGGAGAGCCAGCTGGCCAGATGAGAGATGAAAAATTGCACGCCGTTGTGGCGCGAAGCACATTTCCAAGTCAAAATGTACAAAACACACCATGCTCGGACCACTTTTGGAAGTTGAGATGTCGAAAAAGTGCGCGCCGTTGTGGCGCGAAGCACATTTCCAAGTCAAAATGTACAAAACACACCATGCCGGACCACTTTTGGAAAGTTGAGATGTCGAAAAAGTGCGCGCCGTTGTGGCGAAGCACATTTCCAAGTCAAAATGTACAAAACACACATGCTTGGACCACTTTTGGAAGTTGAGATGTCGAAAAAGTGCACGCCGTTGTGAAGCACATTTCCAAGTCAAAATGTACAAACACACATGCTCGGAAAAACCCACTTTTGGAAGTGAGTGCGAAAAGTGCGCGGCCGTTGGGGGCTGGCGAAGGCAAGAGGGGCCAAGGGCAAAAGGAAAAACACCATAAACGACAGTAACAAACCATATAAAACATTTTTAAGACAGCCAAAAATTACAGACAACAAAGACCAAAACCAATAAACTTCACAAAACGAAAAGAACCCAGAAAAACAAAAATAAAAACAAAAACATCAACAACCAACACAACAACAAACAAAACACACCATGCTCGGACCACTTTTGGAAGTTGAGATGTCGAAAAAGTGCACGCCGTTGTGGCGCGAAGCACATTTCCAAGTCAAAATGTACAAAACACACCATCTTCGGACCACTTTTGGAAGTTGAGATGTCGAAAAAGTGCACGCCGTTGTGGCGCGAAGCACATTTCCAAGTCAAAATGTACAAAACACACCATGCTCGGACCACTTTTGGAAGTTGAGATGTCGAAAAAGTGCACGCCGTTGTGGCGCGAAGCACATTTGAAGTCAAAATGTACAAACACACCTATTCTCGGACCACTTTTGGAAGTTGAGATGTCGAAAAAGTGCACGCCGTTGTGGCGCGAAGCACATTTCGAAGTCAAAATGTACAAAAAAACACACCAGGTTCGGACCACTTTTGGAAGTTGAGATGTCGAAAAAGTGCACGCCGTTGTGGCGCGAAGCACATTTCCAAGTCAAAATGTACAAAGCACACCATTCGGACCACTTTTGGAAGTTTGCCCGCCGTTGTGGCGCGAAGCACATTTCCAAGTCAAAATGTACAAAACACACCATGCTCGGACCACTTTTGGAAGTTGAGATGTCGAAAAAGTGCACGCCGTTGTGGCGCGAAGCACATTTCCAAGTCAAAATGTACAAAACACACCATGTCGGACCACTTTTGGAAGTGAGATGTCGAAAAAGTGCACGCCGTTGTGGCGCGAAGCACATTTCCAAGTCAAAATGTACAAAGCACACCATGCTCGGACCACTTTTGGAAGTTGCGATGTCGAAAAAGTGCACGCCGTTGTGGCGCGAAGCACATTTCCAATCCAAAATGCTTGACTCTCTTGCAGCGCGCTCGGCCTGACCGGTTTTTTCTCTTCCGAGCGCCAAATCTCAAGTTCTGCCAGATGTGAAGAAGCTGAAGCCGATCTTCGAAGACAAGTGGTATGCATTGGATAAAAACTCAACACTGACGGGCTAAGCAATATGGAGCATGGCATGGAACAAAGCCAGGCAAAGCATGATGGGCTGCTTAGCTTGGAAGTGCTTGGATCACAGGCAAGGCTGGGCAATATGGAATGCATACTGTCTTACAGACAGAACCAGCAAATCTGAATGCTCAGCCTGGCTCCAAATCAAAAGGTATACTTTCGAACCCGTACGTGCTGGCTTATGAAAAGCATGTACACCTCAGTCAAAGATCGCAAATCAGACGGGTAGCGCAGACCCTGCGCAAGCCCCGGGTGGGCAATACAAAGTATGGGCTGGGAGAATCAATGAAGACACTGGTGAGGCCCTTGATCAACGCACGCAAGACAATTTGTATTGGTGAACTTCAAGCCAATCCCTCCAGGCCAAAAATGAAGTTTTCAACAATCCAAAATGCTTGACTCTCTTGCAGCGCGCTCGGCCTGACCGGTTTTTTCTCTTCCGAGCGCCAAATCTCAAGTTCTGCCAGATGTGAAGAAGCTGAAGCCGATCTTCGAAGACAAGTGGTATGCATTGGATAAAAACTCAACACTGACGGGCTAAGCAATATGGAGCATGGCATGGAACAAAGCCAGGCAAAGCATGATGGGCTGCTTAGCTTGGAAGTGCTTGGATCACAGGCAAGGCTGGGCAATATGGAATGCATACTGTCTTACAGACAGAACCAGCAAATCTGAATGCTCAGCCTGGCTCCAAATCAAAAGGTATACTTTCGAACCCAATGCTAAGACTCCCAATGCTATACCATCTTGAGCGCAGCGGCCAGAGATCGCGAAGCGATAAAAAAGACTTCGGGGATAACGGCTTCTGACAGCAGCCATCCCTGCTGGCAAGTCCATCCATCCTGCAATCCTTCTCGGGAAAGGCCATCTGAAACATTGGCTTCAGACTCTACAAACTCAAAATACACTCTGCAACCTAGTCGTGCAAACATCAAGTGAGCAAGTGAAGCAATGGCACAAATATCGCCGGCGGAACTAGAACCCTTTGTTAAGCTCTGGCAAGCGGCCTGGTTATCAATGTACCAAACAATATCCTGATTACACATGAGATGGGGAACGTTAGCCGGCACAATGACACTGAGCAAGGCCTCACATGGCGTTATTTGCTGCTTGCGGTCAACTAGACATGCAATAACTTCAGGTCCCAACACTGCAGTCATGCCAATCGGCTGCAAACCTGCGAGGTTTGGGAAAACTACAAATCCTACACGGGCTGGCTGATGAAAGTCAGGCTCATAGCTGGCATCGGAATATATCCGTACTGGCGGCACCGGTGGGCGGCCAATTTGCACAATTCTAGGCGGCACTACCGTGGCTAAAAGCAGATGAAACCACAACGCATCTACAAGGTGCGGTGTCAATGCATCAGAGGAATCAAAATACTGCCTCTGCACAAGGGCAGCTTGGCCTCCACGGCCGCACTTACCAAAGGTGCCAGTACTAGCCCAACCGAACTTACCTCGGAGCTTGGCGGCTTGCCCGGAAGTCAAAATTTTGTCGCCAAGAATTTTGTGTATGTCTGCAGCAACTGCATCTCTGAAGCCAGGTTTGAGGTCGAAAGAAACTACACCATCCAAATGGGCAATCCCAACATTCACTGCAACGCCTAAAAAAACACGGCAAGATGCCGGGGCTTGAGATTTCTTGGGATCAAGCTGGGCACCTGCTGCACCATAAACTCCTCGCACCACTGCTTGGGCTGACCCTTGGCACGCCTGGAAGTCAAGAATCCCAGTATCGTCAAAGAAGTAAATGGCTAAGGCGCCTCCCATTCTGCGCGATACCGCGGTTAGCAAAGCAGGTGTCCTATTAAAGGCAAGGACTGCAGAGGACAGGCCAAAAGGCATGCCATTGAGGATAACAAACCTGATGTCATTCTGGACGCAATCCCAATAGCTCACGACTGCGCAGCATCTGTCTGATGGCTGGATGGGACACTGGCGGTATGCATGACACATATCTTCTGTACCTAGAACCATCTGGAGCCAGGGAATTGAATGCTCGTAGGCTGAGCCCCAGTTGCGCTGCGCTTGCTCAAAGATGGCTTGTGTTGCTGCAGGGATGACATCCACGGATGCTGTATAGATTGTTTCAGTTTCCCTACAGGCCTTGTTGTGGCCTGGCTTTTTCCCACTGTCGATTAAGCGGAGCTTACCACAACTTTGGACATGCACGAAACGCTCCAACGGCCTCCAGCCTCCTACCCCAAACATGCTATCTATTTGGCTTTGAGAGAACGGCCCTTCTGCAAAACCTAGCTGGACTTCTTGCAAAGTCATGTCACGCAATGCCTCATCATGAGACCCGGGCCGGACTCTACTATGCATTGCCTGCAAGTTCTGAAGGGCAGACTCACCAAGCAAAACTGCCTTACCGACCGGCAACGATTGGTCAGTAACCAAAGGGCGGAAAAGGCTGGAGTTTTCAATGTCGCCTATTATACCAAAGCCTAAGACATAACGTAGCGGACACGTTTCATCAGGCCAACGAAGCAACAAAGCACATGCTAACAAAAAGGCCGGTCTCTTGTTGGATGCAACGCATGCGACAGACGCAGGCATGTGAGCACACAAGGCTTTCTCCCATGGTACCAACTTCTTAGCCATCCGCTGTAGCTCTCTCAGCTGCTGAATCCTCCATGAGCGAAAACGCGGGCCAAACGTGGACATGGCCCTGCAAACAAACATGGCATCGTCATCTAAAGGCACTGGTTGCGCAAAGGGTGACTCCACTGAAGCGGAGGCCAACAAGTGGGCATCTTTTGACAAGCCTCGCTCATGCAAAGGCGGCAGGGCAAAAGAGGACAAACCAGAACCTCGTTGGTTGCCTGTAGCGGCAGCTGCCAACGCAGGGGCTTTCTGCTGGGCCCAATCGAGCCCTTGCGGATTGGCCTGTAACCCCCTGAGCTGTGTATCCGCCCAATAAACTTGCAAACAAGCCAGGTCACTGGCGGCCAGAACATACGCAAGCTGAGACTGCGGCATATTGAACTGGATACCGTGCAACGCGCACCGTTGGTAGAAGTAGTCAGCAAGTTGATGAGAACTCATGAGGCCTGGGATGGATTGCAAGACCTTTGTGTGAAAAACTGTGTTCCAAGTCAACTCTCTAAG